ATTAAAGCTATTGAAAGTTATAAACTTCAACTTAACTAAAAACGGGGTGCGATTGACAAATTATAACATATCCGGTGATACATTTTTCAAATTCCAACACTTTGTTTAGTAATAATAATAGTTTTTTTTACCATCCATGTTGGCATACAGCACTTACAAAATATCAATATTTGTGCAATATTTTTATTACTTAGTTTTGTCAAATGTTACAGAGTTATAAGTTTTTTTTATTCGCAATTTATATTTTTAATTTTAAAACCTACATGTTTTTATAAATACTTCCAAGTAGATTATTTTGAAAACAACTTAACAACTTTTTTAATTTAATATTGGAGTTTTGTCGTGTGCCAAGTATGTTTTAAATATATATTTAACGCTTATACAAAAATATTATGCACAGAAAATCATACACTAACAGTTTAAAAATATTTTACAAGACAATCACAAACTAATATTCGATCTAATATTAAAATCAAATCTTTATAATATGGTAATTTCCAATTTGTAATTGGTAGGAATATCAAATATAATGCATAATTAAGAGTAGGTATTATAAGAGCATAAAAGTATTTTTCGTGGCATTTTATATTTTTTATGTTTTTTTTTCTGATTTATGTATAATAAAATGATTATTGAGTCAAACATCTCAAAAATGTAAAACAAGAATAAACAAAACTTTTATTTTACAGGGATTTGTAAAAAAGTTTAGTGTACGGGCCTGAAGTTTAAATTTTTATGACAATATATTTCAAAAATTAATACCCATTCATTTTCAAACGGTTTTAGTAATTAATTTCGTGCACGGGACTTAAGGGGATTGAATACCGTGATTTTCTGTCTTTGTCTAACACACGGGCGACAGGATTTCCTACTAATTTTACTTCAATCAGTCCAATTGATGCAATAAAAATTCTGAAAATTTATTTGAATTCAGCGTAAAGACTACTTGAAATCGGTCAGATTACATTCTTTACTGTTTCCCTCAAAATTCCATAAATTTGATTTAAATTTTTTGAAAAATATAAAATCTTGTAGTAGTGTTTAAAAAATATTATTAAATAAAACTGAAAAAGTGGCCCGACCGATCTCAAGTAGTCACGCTGAATTCAAATTAATTTTCAGAATTTTTATTGCATCAATACAACGACTGGACTGATTGAAGTAATATTAGTAGAAAATCTTATGTCGCGCGTGTGTTAGACAAAGACGGATAATTACGGTATCCAATCCCCTTAATGCGCAGTACAAACTACAAAGTATTGTTACAAATATGCTCTTTTTTCATTAAATCACAATTTTCTTAAAAACAAATATTTTATATTTCATAATTTTTACTAAATATTTATTAATAAAAACAGAAAAATGTTTGTCAACTATAAGGATTTAAAAAACACAATACAACAATACCTAGCGAAAACTCCCAAAATAAATATACGTTAAAATGTATTTTTTTTTTTATTGCCAAATTATATTATAAACTTATCATTATTCATTAAATATGCTTCTTAGTGACGAGAAAATTATTTCAAGCTTACTTATCATTTATCAATAAATCTAATAGCCCGAAAAAACAAGCAATAATTTTCGAGCCCTAACACTTATTATGTTGCAACTGAAAAATTAGTAATCACAGGACTGGAAAATGTTAGCTATTAAGTTACATTAGCTATTACATTACCTTCTACACAAAATAGGAACTTTTAAAAATATATCTACCAATATTAAAATGTTTATACCACAACCAGCGGCGTATTTACGGGGGTGATTTTAGGTATCAATTAAAGAAAATAAGTTTATATACCTAGACACTAAATCGTGTTTAGTATTTAATATCTAATGTATTTTTAAGATTTGTAAATAAAGTAAAAAAAAAATCCGTTAAAAGGTAATTAATAGCCTGTTATTACGGCTATGTTGCAGCTATAGTACGATGAGTTTGTGCGATTTCTGTCCGATTCATATTCTATATTGCTGTAGCTGTTCTACGCACTCGATGCACCATCAGCCAGTAGGGCACGTGTGTATTACTCATTACTGTATAGTTGTAAATTTTTAATATAAAAACAAGATATTTTTAGACCAAAATACCAAAATAAATATATTATATTATATATTATGAAATGGTCTAGTACAGCGTTTCTGAAACTGTGTTCCACGGAGATCACTTTAGGGTTCCTCAAACTCTCATCAAAATTAAAATTTAGAAGTCCTGTTTGTCTGTATTTAAATTATTTTTCGAATTAAATATAGTACCTATACACATTATTATATAATAATTATATTATATATTTATATGGATTATTATAATTTTTATTGCAAATAATTCTTTCGTAAAATGACTATTGAAACAAAGTAGGGGTTCTAATTGTCGAGGTGTAATAACTCATTGTTGAAAGCTAACTAAAAAATAATGACTAATTGGTATTCATTATAAAATAATATATGGTGTTTAAAGTGTAAACTGTACAGCATTATTGAGCACATTTTGGAAACCTCAAAGAGGGTGTGCGGGGCAAATCCCACTTTTACGTATGTCATTCAATGGCTCATCCCTTCCCTATAAAAATTCTTAAATACTGCCATGAACCAAGTTACACTTAAATAGTTCTAAACTAATAAATTGGTACCTACCTATTGACTTATAAGTTATAGTAACATATTAATATATATAGGTAGAGCCGGTAGAATTATGTATGATGTAATATTATAATAATTGATTTTAAATTATAATTTAACATAATAATATGCAATGTTTCGTCAAAAATTAGTTTAACATACCGTACTACAAATATATAAATAAATTACTAATAGTTATATAAATAAGTTATAAAATATTTTCAGAAATAGAGGTGACACACCGTCTCTGCTCAGAATAGTTTTTCGTGACTTACTCAATCATTACTCAATGTGATAATGTACACTCCATACCTCGGACTTCCCGGATATTTGTATTAGTACTTTACTAGTACTTGTTATGGTGTACACAGTACACATAATATCTATCCTTCTTATAAACTTTTATAAATATTCCCCTGGGTACCTGTGACTTATAATATTATGAAATTTTAAAAGAAAGTTGATAAAAGTATAATATTAATCGTACGAATTCGTATTTCGTACATAATTTATTTATTACGTTTCAGAATAAGTATTTATAACTATTACAACTATCCTAGTTCCTACTCAAATTTAATACCTCGGGTCAGAGACAAATACAAATTGACCGAGTGCCATGGTTTTTATTATTTATTAATTTTTTTTATATGAATATACCTAATTGTTTTATAAAATATAATATATTATGTATTTCCTAAACTTTATAATTTATATACTTTAAAATATGAATGTATAAACCATAAATTCGGGCTAGGATCTAGTAATATTTTTAAGATGAGGCCATGAGGGAAGCCACAGAAAATTAAAAAATAGCGTCTTACTACGAACACTCATAATTCAAAATATTTTCTTCTTATACACCGACAACAGTTTAAAACTTACAACTTTACTAGTTGATAAATAATTATTCAACATTTTGAAGAAAATAATTAGACATACCTAATGGTTATTAAAGGGATATGTCGCAGACATAGATGACCTATATACTAAATACTATTGGACAGCTAGAGAAAGTCAGGCGACAATAGAGTGAGCGAGAAAAGAAACAAAGTAGTAAAATATAGTTTCTTATTACCTTATGTTCTTTATTTTCAGTGTGAATTAAGGACATTTTACCCCCGACTGTTTTCGGTCTAGTATTACTATTCCCCCCCAATATATTTTTAATGCGAACATTTTCCCAACATTTTTTTTTAAAGTTTATCATTAAATATGAAATATTTTTTTTGCCTTGTGTCTAATATTTTCAAATATATAATAAATTACCTATAGAGTATATAGATGTATATTTTTGACCAACCGAACTACTTGAATAAAATTCAAAAACAATTATTAAACTGTTAAATACTCAAACTGGTACATTAAAAAAAAAAAAATATATGAACAAAAAATATGTGTTTAGAAATAACAAAAGAATCAGTAAACAAATGTTTTTTTACAAAATGTATCATTTTAATGTCGACATTTTTATTAATTATATTTTTTTTTAATTTTTTATCGTTTCAAGTAGTTGAGTGGATCAAACATAATATACATTTATAATCTATATCTATTATATTTTATATTTTATTTAAAAAAAATAATTTCATATTAAATAATAAATAATATTGTATTATTAAATTCAATAGTATTAGTCAATAATAAACTTTTAAAAAAATATCCGCTTCAAAAATATATCGGGGGGGAAATGTCTTACTAGACCGAAAATAGTTGGGGGGAGGGAAATATCCATTTACCACCTCATTTATATGGATATTTTGTGATCGCCTAGCATTGAGGGCAGGGCGGCGTTGAATGCGCTGTCCATTACTTATTAGTATATGGTCGTGGGTATCTGAAGCAGAATAATTTTCCGATAACTTTAATATATTATAAAAGTTGAAATGTTGAACTATAGTAGTTTTTAATCAATTATTCATTTTATAAGGTTTTGATGAACGGAGTGGATTGGTTTACGGGGACAGAGCAAAATACTGGTCCACATTCTCAGGCACACTCTCATTATTATACTCATCTATACAGTGCTTGAATTGGAAAAAAAATAGAAGGGGTATGCAAAAGTATAAAACATTTGTGCGTCCCCCCAACATTTAAATGTCTTATCAATTCTTGAAATTAGAAGGGGTACGCTAAAATATTTTGAAAATAGAAGTTGGACTCCGTCCCCCCGCGTCCCCCCC